TTTTTTTTAACTAGGATGGGGTGAGAGACAGTGTCAAAGGCCTTGCTGAAGTCCAAAAAGACTACGTCCACCGCGACACCTGCATCCATGGCCTTTGTGACCTGATCGTAGAAGGCAATCAGGTTGGTCTGACATGATCTCCCCCTAATAAATTCATTTGCTTCTCTCCAGTTTAGTAGCTGGTGTTAATCTTCATTAATGGCTCCATTTATTTTCCTGTAGCCCAGCATGGTTCAATAAGTCATCCTGAATTTGGAAAAGCTACTGTACTGTTGCAGTGACTAGAGGCCACCCCCCACTCAAGTCCTCAAGGTACTGAAATTTAGGACTGTGAATATCACAAATTCAGGAAATGTATATGTGGAATATCAAAAGTTACTAACCACACAACATTAGTCTTATATTTGGAGTGGTCACCATTTCACACAATATAAGTTCATGAAATGGTCCTTTTCTAGATCTGTGCTTAACACTACTAATTGATGGAGAATGGATTCTTAGCAAAGAGGGGGAAAATGACTGCTTTGTGAAGAATTTTTAAGATGTTTCTGTGGACTGCATACGGGCACAAAGAAAACTAGTCAGGACAGACACTGCAGGACAGTTGTTTTCAACCTTTTTTCATTTACGGACCCCTAAAATATTTTGAATGGAGGTGCAGACCCCTCTGAATTGTAAGTGTGGTAATCACACACTTTGATTGATCATAGTCATCTTTTGCAGACCCCATAGACAGTTTGCAGACCCCAAGGGTCCATGGACCACAGGTTGAAAACCACTGCCATAGGATACAGCATGATAGGTTTGGTGATTTCTGGGAAGCCGAGATGTTCATTCTGGGGGGACCAAACTGTTTCAGTTTTTACCTGTCAATAAGAACACTCCAGAAAGAACATTAGGGTTGCTGCCTAGGTCCTTCAACTGTTTCTTTATCTAATTTACGATTTTACCCCATGGTCAGATTGATACAGACTGTAAGGGGTTTTGCAGGGGGCACCATTCTCTTCCTGGCCTCTTCCAAGTGCATTTTAAACAATCCTTGCAGCTGTGGGACACTGACCACCACTGTCCCCCTGCTCTACCCATGGCACGTTAGGGTGTTATGCCTTGTAGTGGAGGCAGAACTGATTGTGTCATTTTAGTAATAGATTAGGCACAGGTTTGCATGGAATGCTTTGGATAGGGATGAACCTACCTCAGGCAGGGGTTAGATTACACTATTACCACCAGAAGAACCTTCCAGCCCTAACTTTTCTATGACTGTATAGTGATTTTCAGTTTAAAACTTAACCTTAAATTTTCCAAGTTTTGCTGTTACTAGAATTTAGACCAGACTCATCATAGTTGTTAGGGGCTGGAAGGGACCTTACAGATCACTGGGGTCCACTCCCTCTGCACTTGGGCAGGAAAGACTGCTGGGATCAGATGGCCCCAGCAAGATGGGTGTCAAAAAACATTTTTTGAAGATCACCAGGATGGATGACTGTACCACCTCTGGGGGAAGCCTGTTCCAAACTCTCAGCACTCTACTTGTAAAGTAGTTTTTCCTTATGTCTAGCCTGAAGTGATCTTCAGTCAGTTTGTGCCCATTATTTCTTGTCCTCCCCTGGGGAGCACTGGTGAATAGATGCTCCTCCAAGCCCTGATGAACTCTTGGGGGACAGAGAACAGGACTCATGGCAGGCCAACTGACTTACATTGGAAAAGTTAAAACTGCCTAGTCACTAAGATGTTCAAGGTTCATTTTAACAGAAAGGGGTATGGAGATTTGCTTTGCTAGGTTTCTTTTAAAATGGAGGCCTAACACAACTGTTTGGCAATTAAAAAAAATTCCATGGAAGACCTACAAGCCATTTTGATATTCTCCATCAGAAAAGGGTCACAAGTTCAATCTAATATTGGTCCTGTAATAAGATCCCATCTAAGAGCTCTCAAACTTCCTTTAAAAGATCAATAGAGGTCATTTAAGATAAATCCTGAGAAGAAAGAAAAACATTAAGACTTTAGAGCACACTTCAGACCTAGTTAAGGATTACCTGGAGGGCTTAGATGTATCCAAGTTGGCGGGCCCAGATGACCTTCATCCACGGGTGCTGAGGGAATTGGCTGGTGTCATTGCGGAGCCATTGGCATGGCTGTTTGAGGACTCCTGGTGCTCGGGCCAAGTCCCTGAGGACTGGAAAAGGGCCAATGTGGTCCCTATTTTCAAGAAGAGGAGGAAGGGAGAGCCTGGCAACTACAAGCCAGTCAGCCTCACTTTTTTCCTGGGGAAGTCTTTGAAA